CCGGGGGGGGGTCCGGGAAAGGCCCCAAAACCAACAAAAAAAACCCTTGTTAAAAAAAACAAAAAAAAAAAAAAAAAAAAAAAAGTGTGTTCAAGGCTGCAAGGGTACCACACTCACAACAGTGTAAATAAGTGTGTTCAAGGCTGTGGCAATGAGCAACACTCAAATGTTGCTACTATTACTACTGCTACAGTATAAAAAGTACCCTTAGATACAATGAGGAAACAGTTTTGTTTTTTTTTTAAGATTTATTTATTTTTTTACGTACATTAGGGTTTTGCTTACATGTATGCCTGTGTGAGGATGCCAGATCCCCTGGAACTGGAGTTTCAGACAGTTGTGAACTTCCATGTGGGAATTGAACCCAGGTCCTTTGGAAGAGCAGTTAGGGCTCTTAATGAACCATCTTTCCAGCCCCAACAATTTTATTTCTAATGCCTGTTCTCTTTAATTCTGGGTGTTAGACTAAAAACTGAAGGTACATCATTGTATTTAAAACTTTATAGGCTTTCTGAAGTATTTTACATTCATTAATTCATTTGGGTCTCCTAGCAACACTGCAAAAGGAGTACAGTATCACATTCTGTTAGCCCAGTTTTACAGAAACAGGATACTGAAGTCCAGGGTACTGCTCTGTTTAGTGGCTATCTGCTTCCAAAGGACAGTGTGGCCTAAATGCCAGTGTTATGACCACCAAGCCAGTGCTCTTTCAATTATGCACAAACACATTCTATGATCCCCTTGGAGTAAATGAATCGATCCTATAAACTTACATTACATCCTTTACTCCCACGTCTCTGGTTTCTCCTATGTGTACTTCCTCTGGGATAGGCTTCCATCTAGGTCACATTACATTCGGTTACCATGCCTCCCGAGCCTCCTAGTTTCTCAGATGTTCCTTATTTTTGAAGACCTTGGTAGTTTCAAAAGACATTATCAGTCTGTAGAATTGAACTTACGTGTCGACACTATCAGTCTGTAGAATTGAACTTGTGTGTCGTTCTTATGATTATGCAGATTTTGACTCTATGAGAAGAAAACCACAGAGATCTTCACACTGTGTCATATCAAGGGTGCCAGATGTCAAGATGGCTTACCGATGGCAGTATTAACCTTGATTGCCTGGCTGAGCCAGTGTTTGTTAGGGTTCTTTTCCTTAAAGTCACTCTTTTCCCTCTTTCTACACGACTCTTTTGTTGTTGTTTTGGGTTTTTTTTTTTTGTTGTTGTTGTTGTTGTTTTTCAGACAGGGTTTCTTTGTGTAGCCCTGGCTGTTCTAGAATTAGCTGTATAGACCAGGCTGGCCTCAAACTCATGGAGATCCATATGCCTCTGCTTCCAGAGTGTTGGGATTAAAAGTGTGAGGCTCCACTAGCTGGCCCATGCTACTGTTTGGAAGGAAGTCACTATGCACACAGCCCACACTGACAAAGTAGGACCATGGGAAATCCATGCCCCTTCCTTTCTTTTTTTCTCCCTCCCTTATTATTTATCCATCCATCTACCCAATCATTGCTATCAGCATGGACCCATGGGTATTTAATATATACTCCGGGCTATAATCCAATACCAATTTGCTTATTTTCAAATTATTACTGCTGTGTTCACTGGGAGTTCTTGTCTGTCCCTTAATCACTGTGGTTTTGTTTTTTGTTTGTTTATTAGCTTGGTTTTTGGTTTTACCACAAAGTACTCTAAGTTCACCCTGTAGAATCCCTGCCCCACTTCATCATTTACTTTTGCAAGGATTCCTGGATTCCTTTGACTAGAAACCAAGATGTAAGTGCATAGGTTCTGGTGTTTTCTAGCTAAATAACTCCTAGCAAAGATGTTTCACTCTGGCTGCTCTAATGTGTCCAGGGGACCTTAGAAGAGGAGCTCAACTCTAGGAAACAACAATTCCCCAAATTGCTTTTTCTTCCAAGTGGGTAAGTCTAAGCAGGAAAAATACAAAGAACCCCCATTATTAGATAAACCATTAGGATTGCTATATTATAAACCAAGCCAACAAATCTACAACAGAACCGCAGGAAGCTTAGAATAACAGAGTCATCTGTCGGGGGTCATCGGGAAGAATACTGATAGTGTCTTCAGCTTTGCCACACAATAGACACAGCATGGTGTACTCCTAGAACAAGACAAGATGCAAAATTACCTCAAGGGACAGCAGAAAGATGCTCGATAAAGGATTGCTCAGGAAAGCTTTACTACCAATTGTCACGGGTAATCCTGCTGCACAGCAGGTTAGTTCCTCAACACCTATTAGCAAGGCCCTACATTTATTACACACACTCCTGGAGCCTTTTGTTTATGTTATCTCTATCATGCATGTAAGAACAGCATTTTGAAAGTACATGGCTATTTCTCAGACTAACAAAGCATACATATTTTGTCTAGTGCTTCTATTTAAACTAACAAAGATACCTGGGCTGGGGCTGCATGTAGCTCAACTGGTAAAGACCTTATCCACCACCTGCAAAGCCCTGCTTTCAGTATCCAGTACAAACTGGGCATGGTGGCACACAACTGTATCCCAGCACTCAGAAGGTGGAGGCAGGAGGATCAGGAGTTCAAAATCAGCCTGGACTCCATGAGCCCTTGTCTCAAAAAGGTAAAGGGCATTTGCTCAAGCTTGGTGACCTGAGTTTGGTGACCTTAATCCCAGGAACCTACACAGTGGAAGAATAGACTCCCAAGTACTGTTCTCGGACCTCTATATATGTTCCACAGCAAACATACACATCACACACATACACATATACACACAGACACACAAATAGTAGTTAAATAAATGAACCTCTTTTTTTGAGACAAGGTTTCTCTGTATAGCCCCAGCTGTCCTGGAATTCCCTCTGTAGATCAGGCTGGCCTCGAACTCACAGATATCCACCTGTCTCTGCCTCCCTAATGCTGGGATTAAAGGTGTGTACCACCACTGATTGACTAAAATTAACCTCTTTCAAAAGTGAATGAATAAACAAAATAACATCTCAAGCTGGAAAAGCTATCTTTATCAGCCCTAGGAAATAAAAAAGTATATTAAATTCACTAGCATGCCACATCTCATATTTAAATAGTTAATTGCCCAAGATTTCATCTACTTAAGTATCTAAGTTTTTATTAGGTTTATGTGTCTTGTGCTTAACAAATGTCTAGACTGGTGACAGAAGGAATTTTATTTTAAGAAAAATTCCTTAGGGCAAAGTCCTGTTCTTACAGCTGCCACAGATACATTTTCTTTAAACTTTTTATTTAAAATATTTTTGTTTTGTTTAGGAAAACAACTATCTATGTTGATTCTACTAATGCCTCCACACCAGATGGTGCTGCCTGGAATGGATCAGTCAAATAGTTTTCTTGGTCTGGACAGTCACTAGAGAGGACTGTGGAGCTAAACAGTGACAAGGCACAAAGTCCCCAAAGGAGACAAGTGCCTTTCCATTTCAACGGCAAGTCCAACAGACAGCAGACAGCCTGTTTTTGAAGACTGTTCTTAAATTAATCAACTGGCTAACTGATTGTCAGTGCTGGAGGCTAACCCAGAGCTTTGTGTATACTAAGCAGGCACACTTCCATTGAGCTACCTCTCTGTGCTCCTGATTTTAAAGTCTCTTCTATTCACCCAGTAGACATACATACAGGGTAACAACACTTAAAGAACAGATACTACTCATGAGCATACAATACAATAAAATCTACCCTCTACACAGTATCTACTGTTTGAAACCACCAGAAATCACTATTTTAGGAAAGGCAATCACTATTTAGGGAAGGCAATCTCTTACTCAAAATGAAGACAAAATGTGATGGAGAACACTTCTAATCCCACACTTGGGAAACTGTGGCAGGAGGATCAGAAGGCTGAGGTTGGCCTGAGCTACCTAAAGACCCTGTCTCAACATACACATGGCAGGGCAGGATGGGGGGGGGGAGGGAGAGAGAGAGAAAGAGAGAGAGAGAGAAATCCTTCAATACTCTACAATGTGTTGTATGCAGGGGTCAGTCATGAACAAAGGAAAGAAGGCATCCTGACCTTTTTTTACAAAACTAACACCCTCGTCTTGGAGAAAAAAAAACAAAAAAACCTGATACAATGCATGATATAATCTGGTAAGATTATTTAATCAGTGAAACTGGTTATACTTGTAACCTTTGATTTATGAGCAGCCAGGAACTTGAATTTCATTGTAAGTCAATGATATGGAATTCCAAAGTAGTTCCCCATGGGAGTGAAGTATGTTATATACGTGGCAGTCAGATTCCCGGAAAAATGCCCAAGCCTTTAAATTTGTATTATACAAAGGCTGTGGAATCTAACCACATATTACAGTACTTCTGTGGGAAAGTTTGCCTAGATTCTAAGGTGAGATACTAGGGACACAGTTCCCATGAGATCAGGATACCTTTCACCAACCTGGCTGAGTGGGGGCCCTTCCAGGCCCCAGGCATTCATAGGGAGGTTCAAGGGGCTAAGGGGTAGCCATCTGGAGAGAGTGGGGCTGACAGAATCTCCCAACTGTACTGCCAGGTCCTCTGCTCACTCAGGGGCCCTTGCTCCCTACCCCACTACATTTTCTGATCCCATTCTTTTTCCTGGCCTACTGAAGAACAGAAGGCTGTCTCCTACACCTACCCAATACCCACTCACCCACATATTCCCTGAGGTGAACACACCATCCATTTAAGGGCTTTTTGTCAGATTTCAAAGATTACAATCATGTGTAATGTATTTCTGTTGTACTCTGTACTTCTCTCTCCATCTCCCCCCCTCCCTCCCCCACTCCCCCACCATGGTGCTGCCATCAGAAAATAGGAAAGAGCATGAGAGAAAGAAGCAAAGAAGCAATTAAAATTTATTTTAAGACACAGAAAAAACCAGTCAAGCAGTACAGACTTCAAGAGAAAAAACACTTAAGGAACCCAGATCTGGAAAAGACATTGAGAGAGTTACAAACAGGCAACAGCACAGGATTCAGACAGGCTGCAGAAAGCCTGTGGGAGAGGAGTTCTAATGAAACAAAAATGAAGGCCATCTTACAGAGAGTTAAGAGGAACAGGGAAAATAGGAGAATTAGTTAAAGAGATATTCAAAACGGAGCATGGTGGCACAGGCCCTTAACCTTAGCAGGAGACTTTCCACTGCTACACACTGCTACACTCTCAAAATAAACCAAAACAAAACTATTCAAGCAAAACAGAAAGAGAAAGAGAGAGAGAGAGAGAGGGAGAGAGAGAGAGAGAGAGAGGCTTCCAGAATGGGTCACAGAAGCAGCTGAGTAGAACAGTAAGTTTAAATTATTTTTAACAAAATAAGAAGAACTAAGTATGTTTAATACAATTTTTAAAGTTTTTGCTTGTTTGGTTGTTTTTTGAGACAAGAGTTTCTCTGTGTAGCCATGGCTGTCCTGGAACTCACTCTGTAGACCAGGTTGTCCTGGAACTCACAGAGATGCACCTGTCTCTGCCTCCCACGTGCTGGAATAAAAGGCATTCAACACCATCATTAACATTTTTTAAAAAATTATGTGCACTTGTATGTGTGCTGCAGGTTAATATATGTAAGGGTGGCACCCACAGAGGCCAAAAGAGGGCATTTGGATAGCCTTAATATAAAATTTAACCTAGAAAAGATTCTGGAGACAGTGCCATGTGATCCCTCAGCATTCAAGAGGAGAAAGGGTAATCCTCTTCCAGGGTTAGAATGATACTTCCTATGGGCTGTGTATGGAATAGCTGAGGGAAACGAGAGAGAGAAGCTGGGCCAGCTACAGCCTGGCGGTAAAGAGCCTGGACACTATGCTGTATCAGTGATGGCTGTGAAAGACCAACAAGGTGGTGTAAAGAATACTTTTTAAAGAGTCATCTGATGGCAGACGGTACATGTGGGCTGAGCAAGAGCAGGTGTTGGTAAAGTAAGACTGGAGGCAGAGCCCAGACTTGGACTTTGTTTTCAGGAGCACTGGTAACTATCTAGGCATTGCGACTGCAAGCCATCTTCCCTTTTCCTTTTCTTGTTTCTGCTCAGAGGTAATTCTGGGGGCTGTTTGAAGGTGGCTACATACAGTCATAAAGGAAAATGAGCTGGACTTTAGTCTCATGCCAGTGCTTCATAACAGCTCTCTCAGGACATAAGTGGGCAATTACAATGTCCATCCAGGGTTTCAAAGACCTCATGTGCACTTATGGATGAGAGCTGTAGACAACCGTTTCCTCTCATAAAGATAGAGCCAGGGCTTTTAAGCCCATGAAATGCTCACCCTTCTTTGGCCACGACTATTCCCTGAGACCTTGGTTTTGTTGTGAGTTACACATATCATACAAACGTTTGAAGGCATAAATTTTGACGTTAAAGAGTTATGGTCAATACCCCTCAACTGAAGAATGGATAGAGAAAATGTGGTACATTTACACAATGGAGTACTACTCAGCAGGGAAAAAAAATGGAATCTTGAAATTTACAGGAAAATAGATAGAACTAGAAGAAACCATTCTGAGCGAGGTAACCCAATCATAAAAAGACAAACATGATATGTATTCACTCATATGTGGATTTTAGACATAGAGCAAAGGATTACCAGCTACAATCCATACTGCCAGAGAAGCTAGTAAACAAGGAGGACCCTAAGAGAGACAAACATGGTCCCCTGGAGATGGGGAAAGGGTCAAGATCCCCTGAGCAAATTGAGAGCATGGGAAGAGGGGGGAGGGAGCTACGAGAATGAGAAGGGAAGAAGAGGAAGGATGCAGAGGTCATGAGGGAGCAGAAAGGTTGAGTCAGGTGAAGATTAGAAGAAAGGATATGTGATAGGTAGGGTTTTAGTTGGGGGGGTGGTAGGGGAGGACGGGAGGGAGAAGGAACTGGGATCGTCATGTAAAACAATCTTGTTTCTAATTCAAATAAAAATATTATTTTTAAAAAAAAAGAGTTATGGTCAAGATGTTTAGATTAACCAAAATAGTTCAGATCAGACCCTGACACATATGACCATGTATCTTCTTCCTGACATTTAAAAATATGAACAAGGGACTAGAGATGGCTCAGCAGTTAAAGGCTCTTGCAGAAGATCTGGTTTCAGTTTCCAACACCCTCATGCCAGCTCACAGCTGTAACTCCTGTTCCAGGGGACATGACATCTTTTTCTGGCCTCTGTGGGTACTGCATATACAAGGTACATAGACACACATGAAGGCAAAACGCTCACACACATAAAAGTAAAAGCAAAATCTCAAAAATGTTTAAAAATAAGTAAAAGTTCTTCCAGAGGACTTGGATTCAATTCCCAGCACAGACATGGCAGCTCACAGCTGTCTGTAACTCTTCTTCCAGGGGATCTGATTCCCCCACACAGACATACTTAAAGGCAAAACACCAATGTATATAAAACAAAACTAATTAAAAAAAATACAAGTGCTTCCACTTGTATTATGCTGCTGTGGCTGAACCATATTTTATTTTCCTAAATAAATACTTTTATTTTCCTAAGTAAATACTATCTAAATTTGAATGACTTGAAAAAATACCCTCAACTGTTTAAAGTTCTAACCTGATAGTCTTATCTTGTGGATAAATATGTGATTCACACAAAGTCAGTCTAAAAGCTTGAAAGCAAGCATCGTGAGGAAGAGCCCTGGGTCCCAGTTTGTCCAGGGCTAGGTCCCACAGCTGTCATGGTTTTCTTCTTGACCATCAGACTTGCAGCTCTTCAGCAACCTTGGACCTACACTAGAAGCCAGAGTTCTTCAATGTTCTCCTGACTACAAGAAAGCTAATATAACAAATCCCTTTCTCTCTAGTGATACTGTTTTTCTCCTCCAACCTTGATGGACCTATCTTTCAATTTAGCTTAAGGAATTATAAAGAACAAAAGAACGAAAGCCTTACTATACTTGAGAACAATCAGTTGTTCAAATCCACATGCCAACTAGGGCAAACAAAGTCAACCTCCTTATCAGATTTTCATATCCACCAAGTGGATAGGACAATGCCTGGAACCCACTCTGTAGACAAGGCTGGCCTCAAACTCAGAGATCCACCTGCCTTTGCCTCCTGAGTGCTGGGATTAAAGGAGTGCACCGATATTGCCACTACTACCCCGCAGCCAACACTTAAATTAAGCCAACTGTGCCATTCCCATAGCAGATGAGAAAAGACACCACTGTAGGAATCTCATAAAAATCCACAATGGCAGACTAGAGATGGATCTCCAGTGAGAAGCATTTGCTGCTTCTGGAAAAGACCCACAAGGTGGCTCACAACCATGTGTTACTCCAGTTCCAGGGGATAGGGAGCCCTCTTCTGGTCTTTGTGGGCACCAAGTACACACACACACACACACACACACACACACACAAACATAAATATTTTCAGCCCCCCCCCCCTTTTTTTAAGCAAGAACCCATAACAGGTTAATTCAATAAAATGACATGACTGAATATCATTTGTAAATCACACATTTTGATTTGTGATTCCTGGGAGGATGCACAGATGCAATAACATTTAAAGTTTTGCAGCTTACACAAGTAAAGACAGGGCTGGTCTCCTTTAATAACTGCTAGTATGTCATTACAAAAATTGTTTGTAGATGCTCGAGGGTACTTTTAGTCTTTGTCCCACCTTAATAATACACATATACATGTTTACCTGAAATTCATCCATGATACTGAATGTATACTCATGTCTGGCTATTACATGATGACAATTCTTGCATAGATCTGCCAAAACAAAGGCACGCAATGAAGTCTGAGGAAGTTTCTTAAAACAATGAAATTTCTATTCTTAACATATAATGTTTAAAAGGAATTTTAACTCTGTCACATTTAATACAACAAGAAACTCATTAGAATACTGACCTTTAAAAATTCAGATTCGATCTTTGTGCTCTCTCTCTCTCTCTCTCTCTCTCTCTCTCTCTCTCTCTCCCTCCCTCCCTCTCTGTCTCTCCCTCTCCTGTCCTGTAATAAACTGGTATCCAGATTAGGACCTGAGCTGGAAGGCTCAATGTGTGCATAGTAATTCCCACTTAAAGCTACCTACAGAAATCAATACACAGATTCTTAGATGTTATTTAGTTACTTCTGCTGTACAAGGAACTGAACTTATAGCAGGCACTCTACCTCTGACCTACATTCCCAACCTTCTTGTCATTTTTTATTTTTTTTTTTGGTTTTGTTTCTTGTTTTTGTTTTTTCCTAGACAGGGTTTCTCTATGTAGCCACTGCTGTCTTGGAACAAGCTCTGTACAGCAGGCTGGCCTCGAACTCACTGAGATTCACCTGCTTCTGCCTCCAAATGCTAGGATTAAAGACGTGTATCGCTCTTGTCACTTTTTGGCTGAGGTCTTACTAAGTGGCCCAGGCTGGCTTTGAACTCACTCCATAACTTAGGCAGGCCTTGACCTTTCAGCCTCCTTCGTAGCTGGAGTCAAGCTGGCAAGATTGAGTGAAGGTGCTTGTCACTAAGTAGCTGGGATCAAAGGCCTGTGCTAGCAAGTCTGGAATTGTGTTTCTTAAAGTGTGGCTATGCAAATGCTGTTATTCTCAGGAAAGACAGTAAATGTGCAGCTATACCCAGGCATAGCTAAAGTGAATTTGATGGTAACAAAATAATCTACTAGAAACAATGTAACAACAGTTAATAAACTGTGGTTAGTGTGTGCCAGGTACTCTGTTTTTAATTTGTTTGAAGATTTATTTATTTAGTTATCATGAATACGGTGTCCTGCTTCCATGCACACCTGCAGGCCAGAAGAGGGCACCAGATCTCATTATAAATGGTTAAGCCACCATGTGATTGCTGGGAATTGAACTCACGATCTCTAGAAGAGCAGCCAGTGCTCTTACTCGTTGAACCATCTCTCCAGCCTGTGCCAGGTACTCTTTAAACACTTCTTTTTAGCTATTCATGTACTCTCTAATTCAATGAAACATTAATATTATTATCACTTTGTCAGGAAACAAAGGCAACTGTGATTAAGTAAACCAACTACAGAGATAGGAGGTTTGGAGCCAGAATTCTTAACCTAAGAATGTGGCCCCAGAACCATGGCTCTTACCCACTATGCCCTGTTCCCTCCAACAAAATACACCTTAAAGGAGACACAGACTTCAAAGGCAAGCAAAAACAAACAATAGAGTCTCTGCACGTATCTCATTGATACAAAGTCTTTACAGCTGACTGGGTGTGGTGGCACATGTCTATAATCTTGGTGCTGAAGATGCAGGGGCAGGAAGATCACAAATTTAGGTTAGTCTGAGCTACATAGCAAGTAAGACCTGACTCTTAAGAAAACAAAAGAAGCCTATGAAAAATAATTTTTAAAACAATTCCATGCCTGAATCTCACACTTGAGTTATCTGCAAAAGTTATTCACAGTGGGTAAAAGAGGTCCTAACTGGATTTTCCCCTCAGAAACAAACAGGTAACAATGCTGCAACACAACACTGAATGTGCCCTTGGAACACCTGTTTGGCCAACCAACTTCTGAAAGCTGATACCCGCTAATGGATTTGCATCTCAAAACAAACTCTACTTACGGTCATAGGTAACTATTTCTTCTCCATCTTCCTCTTTCAGGGTTCTGTTTGTGATCAGCATAAAATCTAGCTTATTGCACACCGCACAGCCTATGAAGTTCAATAAGAACGATCCATTCTCCAGACAGGTGTTCCCCTAAAGTATGAGATAGGAATTTCCTTACACTTTGAAGTCTTTGGTGAGACTGACTAATTGACTCAAAACCTCTACAGAGAGAAAACACAGCAGGAACAAACCTACTTGAAGTACATTTGTAAGTAGCCAGTTTTCCCACAGAATTACTCTTTATGAATATGCGTGAAGTACCTGTTAAGTTCATAAATCTCTAAGGACTACGGTGTTTATGAGAGACAGGTAGCTGGGGATGTGGCTTAGTGCAAGAGCATTTGCCCAGCAGCTATCAGGCCTTAGGTGCAATCTCTGCAGCACATAGCAAACAAACATAAAGAAGAACTAAGTCCAAATATTTAGAAATAACAAGGAAAAACAACATTCAATGTGAAAAAAAAAAAAAAAAAACCACTAGAATTAAGAGCCAGGCAGTGGCGGTGCACACCTTTAGTCCCAGCACTTGGGGGGCAGAGACAGGCGGATCTACCCACGAGTTATTTCTAAATATGTCTTCTCGATTCCATTTAATTCTTTCTCATGACAGCCCTTTATTTAAAACAGAACAAAAGCAGGAGAATGCTTCAGAATGGCACTTTCTAGGTTTTCCAGAAACTTTTCTGTCCTTCACTTATTTTGACAGTCTCTCTTTTATTACATCTCTGTATTTATTTTGGGGGTGCACACCTGTACCACATGTGGAGGTCAGAGAACTTGCAGGAGTTGGTTCTCTCCCTCTACCATGGGAGTCCTAGGGATGGAACCTGGGTCGTTGGGCTTGGCAGGCAAGTGCCTTGAGGCACTAGCCATCCTGCCAGCCCAGTGCATCTCCCTTTTAATCTGTACTATCCTTTTACCCTGAATAAAGTTGTCCTGCTACTTCCAGGGGGAATCTCAGGTGGGGCCGGGGGAAAGAATAATCCAAGAGTCTCATTTTTAAAGATTAAAAAAAAATTTAAATTATATGTGTTCTTTGGCTGTTTGTGGGGGTGTGTGCATAGTGAATGCAGGTACCTGTGGAGGCCGGAGGAGGGTACTGGACACTCCCCACACATACCGGGCTGCAGCTGACCCAAGTGGTGGGAACCAAAATTGGATTCTCTGCTACAGCATTAAATGCTCGTGACTTCTGAGCCAGCTCTCTAGCCCCTAACCAGCTCTGTTAAGAAACTCCACAGAGAACTCTCCCTCACAGGCCCCAATGTGCAATGTTCATCATTAAGACTCATAAGGCCTCTTTCTAGATATTAAAACATACACTAAAACATAATATAGAAAAATAATAAAAATCAGAAACATACAGAATAACAAATAATTACAAGCAAACTGCAGAAACACTAGGCAAGTCAAAAAACACTTCTTACAGTCCAGAAGCTTCTCCCTCATTCTCTTTGTTTAAAGTTTTGTCTTTACGTATACGAGTGCCTGCCAGTTAGTCATGAAAGCCAGAGAGGAAATTGGATTCCCTGGAACTGGAGTTATAGACAGCTGCTAGCTGTCACATGGGTTCTGGGAACTGAATCCAGGTCCTTCAAAACAGCACCAATCACTGAGCTGTACCTCTGGCCCTTATAAGGCCACTTGTGAGCATCTTCTGTTTAGCAGCCATCAATACACTGACTTTATAGCAACTTCTTCCTTTCCAACCTGGTTTTACTAACCAGGAGAATTCTTACTGTATTTTAGTTGGCTTGGTTTAAAACTGCACTTTATTTGTTCTTGATCAACACTGTCAGACTAAAGTCACATCGCTGTATCTAATTCTAGTGCTTTCATTGCCCTAATTCCGAGTTCCTCAACCTCGGCATTACTGACACTAGGACACACAGCCCTCTGTTTTGATAGCTGTCCTGTGTATTGACTGCAGCAGAACAGTTGGTCTCTACCCATTGGATGTCCAGTAGTTCCTTCATTGTGACAATCAAACATGTATCTAGCTGTGTGGTGGTGGCACACGACTTTGATCCCAGCAGTTGGGAGGAAGAGGCAGGCAGATCTCTGTGAGTTCGAGGCCAGCCTGGTCTACACAGAGAAACCCTGTCTAAAAAACAAACAAACAAACAACAGAAAAAAGGTCTCTAGATAACTGCCAAATGCCCCCTGGGAGGCAAAACTACTCCCACTTGAGAGCCACATAAAGTTAATTCCATTTCCTGACTCTACTTTTATGATATTCCCTTTTATGAACATGAGTTTTGCTCTACCCTACTTACAAATATGATCTTAGAAACATTCTTATAGATTGCCAGATGTGCATATACATTTTTCTAGAAGAAACACTTCTGCGTCATTTCAATGCACATTTAAATTTGATAATAAATGCTAATTCTTTATTTTTATTTTTATTTTTATTTATTTATTTATTGTTTTTTCGAGACAGGGTTTCTCTGTATAGCTTTGGAGCCTATCCTGGCACTCGTTCTGGAGACCAGGCTGGCCTCGAACTCACAGGG